ATAAAGCGATATTTTAGGATGAATTATATTTCCATTGGCTTCATTCTGTCATTGGGCTGAATAGGCTGTCACTCTGTGCCATGTGGTTTTGATATATATACACATCCCAACAACAGCAGTAAAAGTTCAGAGGAATAAAGAACCTTTGGACAAGCTGTACTGCAGCTCTCACTCATCTGATGAAAGGTTTCACAGTCAACTCACCTACAGGAGCGCTTTCTGAATCATGCTAACCCAAAGTTAGGTCAACACATAACGGAGACTTTAAAATGTTTCTGCAAAGATTTGCACACTTGACGGTTCACATATATATATGAGTGGTGGGTTTAAAGGACAGAGAATGACGAGTCACAGTGAAGCAGCAGATATCTATTGTAATACAAAGGTGTTTTATCTGTTTTATTCCAGTTGATTACCTCAGCCCGTCACTTACAATGGACATGTCAATCAAAAGAAAATGAGCAAATGCATTACTCAAACGTCACGATGCGACGCTGCTGGATTGTGCCTCTGCTTGCAGTCTCGAGTGGTTTGGATATTTCTGTTTACTATTGTTCTTACGGCTGCTGTAACACATGTGAGGTCAAAGTAATCAGAAACAGAAGGGGGCAGAGAGGACGGCCAGCAGTTGGTTGCTTTATGGGTCCGGGCCACAGCCCAACTCATCTTAAAATAAACAGACAATTTTACGGCATGACTGGGCACTCACTCTGCGTTTCTCGACAAAAACGTGGCAAAAAGGTGCAAATCAACAACTAAACTCAAATTTGCGTTCCAGCAATGACAAGTTATAATTACAGTCTCAAGGCTGCTGTTAAAGTAGACTGCAACTGAAACCAAATGCCCACTAACAGCACAGAAAGCTCTGCAAAGCCGCTACCTCACAGGCCAGGTTTGTTTTTTTAAAAATATATTTCCAGATGCAGGAGAGAGAAAATGAATGGCGCTCTGCAAAATGGTAAAATTACACCGTTGCTGTCTGACTATTACACATGCTGAGCTGCAAACACTTTGAGAAAACGGAATCCCTTTGTGATAAAGTCACAACTGATGTTTGACATTTTGTAAAAAGCAGCTTCCTCACTGTACTCTCATAAGTTGTGAGGATTTACAAGGTGAATAGATTTTATGAAAGATCCCCCAGACAGCCGCTAGTTACCAGAAGCAACACAAAGCACAGCTGTAAAAAGGCTGTTTGTCAGCTTTTACAGGCCTATCTTAACACAACTCTACTGCACCTGTTCAGCCATGGCCAAACCACAGAGTACGAGGCCATCTACAGTGTTTAATCATAACACAAGCAGCAGCACTAAATGCTGATGTTTACAGCTCTGGTGTTAGAAAACTGTGGAAAAAGCATGAATAAATACATTTATATATATATATATTTATACTGTATATACAGTATACACAGTAGCCTGCTTCTTTGACTACATATTATATAATGCATGTCATACCATAATATAACGGTATGTGGTCAGAGACATATTAGAAAAGTTCAAGAAAAAGAAAATGTCAGCTAATAATTTACACATTGGTATGAAATGATCACTGCTAAAATATGCAGTGTGACATTCAGAGAGCCACTACAACATTACAAATTAAATAGAAGCAATTTCTATAATGCTGAAGGGTACAGTGTGTCAGAAGGAATGTCGACTGCCAAATGCATAGAATAAATGTCTTAAGGTCCTGAAAGGTCAGAGTTAAGTCGCCTCAGTGTGGTTTAGACTTTAAGGCCACCAGAGAACTCTTCTTTTAGCATAAAGCGGTTTAAAACATGGAGATGCAGAAAGTACAATGGATAAACTTTAGATTAGACCTTTAGCTGTGCTCATGTTCCCTAATAAACAGCCGGTGGATCTTTGGATTCACAGTTCAGTAACAAATGTAAATGTTTATCTCTGATTACTGAGGAGGCCGAGTGGAGAAGCTTTGATTGAAAAAAAGGTGATCGTGGACAAATGAGGTGTCCACACTTAATATTCCCTCAGTGCTCCAAAGTTCTGCAGAGAAATAGATTTTTAAAAAGTCTTTAAACATGAATTTAAATGTATTTATCTTGGCGTCGTGACTTATTTGGTAATTCATAATTGGTGCAGTATAAAAGTTACTGATCACATGGCTGGTCTGCGGATTTTGTTCACTTTTATCAGTGCACAAACCAGCCTCGCTGCTGGTTGTAATATTGCATTTACCGTTAAGACATGAACGTGTCATCAATCTTTTCATCTCATTCTCAACAAGCAAGCGAATCAGCATATTTCCTAAAATGTGCGACAACTCCTCTAAGGCGCGTCTTTACCTCTTAATCAAGTTCACAGAAGTTATTCACAGTCACTCACCTCCTCCTCTTCCTCCTCTTTTTGCAGGTTACCATGTGGTGGTGTTGGACGCCCTTCGTCTTGGCCTGGGTATCCATGGCAACCCCAACGATCTGCCAAAGTGGAGATTGGGGTTCAGGCTTTGACATCTACTCAGCGATAATGGCCGCCAATGACACGTCTCAGGCCGTCGGCGATGAGCCTGTGAGGATGGGACACAATCAGGACCGGATCACACCGGCAGCTTCCTCGCCGTCACTTTCGCCGACGCTGCAGTACGAGCCTCAGCCGGACGAGTGCTCGGTCCACTTCGGCACGAGCGCCGCTTCGGCTCGAAGGCTGAAGGCCCGGAGAGAGCAGCTGGCCTATCTGCAGGCCATCCAGCATGGCAACAAGGCAGTGATGGAGAACCTGGTGCAGTTTGTGGGGGCGGAGCTGGGAGACCAGAGCTACGAAGATGTGATTAAGGAAAATGTCGTTGGCATCGCAGAGGACAACAAGAGTTGCCATGAAGCTGTAGAGAAAGCTGAAGAGGATCTGGAAAGGCAGCTGGAAGGGGAAGTGTTGAACACCGGAATGCAGAAGTGAGTGTAATGAATCTGTTTTTCTAACAAATGAAGCTAACAAAAGATCTGTTCTTGGTTTCTTTTTTAGCGTATACTGAAGACGTAAAAAAAAAAGTAAATGTTGGGAACAGAGATTGGAGAAATTGTGAGTGAACATCTGCGTTCGACTGACGGCAGAGTCAGGCTATCTCTAGCCTTTTATTAAAGCATCGACGACTGTGTTGATGACTGCCGTTTCATCCGGCCTTCCATAATGCACGTCAATCAAAAGAAATCAGCAAAAGTATTAATATCTTGTCGCAAGGCTCCTGCATGGTGTCTCTGCTTGCAGTCTAGATTGGTATCAAGGTTTGTGTTTGCTACATGAATACTAAAGAGCATTCATGTCTACACATGCAGATATTATTTTTCTAAATTGACTATTTTTGAATATGTCTTTTTGTCTCCACCATGCTTTGCTTTATATTTGCCATATGTCTTTCCTCTTTACACAAGCTTTTCCATTACATAACCAGCATTAACAGAAACCATATGCATTACTCCCCCGCATTACACCCCCCCCCCCATTATAATGTATTTAATGTCCTCAGCTTCTCTGTCACTTTCTCCATCTCTCTCCACATCTGATCGCTCCTTCCTTTACCGTCCCTCCACCCCCGGTGACCCTGGATCGTCCGTCTGTCTGGAGCAGAATCAGAGAAGAGTCGTTGGCCTTTGAAGACATGGTCCGCGTTGCAGCGGACATCGCCAACAGGCTGGAGATCTCCTCGCAGGCCCTGCACGCTTCGTTCAACAAGCAGCTGAAAGACATTGCCAAAATGCATCGCTGAGGAAGTGTTGGAAAAAAAGTTTGCTGCTCTTTTGTCATCCTCCAACTCGGTGAGCATGTTCGGTATCAACAATGAGTCATGGTCAGGCATTCCATCAACTGTATAAGTTGAAGGGAATGAATGATTGACACAGCAAAAACATTTTGTTGGGAAAAAAAACTTACGGTATAACCCCTATGAAATATTACTTTCCATCCAGGCACTACTCGTGGAATTGGGTGAGGTCACATGTGGTAACAGTATGTGGTGCAGGTTTGAGCCAAGTTGAGTGTTTATGGATCAGACTAGATTGACGGTCAGAGACCAAACATAATGGCTCTGTTTTCTCCAGAAGAAGGTGTGGATGGAGCATCTGGTTCCAGGGTGAGGATGGAGGCCAGGGTACGCTTTAGGATAAGTAGTGGGTTCCAGTGGATGGCATTGTTATGAAGCACTGTTATAAAGCATTGTTATCTGTTGTTTGCAGGAACGCAATAACCTGTGGATGAGGGAAACAATCTTTTTCTGTGATTAGGAAGTAATGAGAAGGAAACACCAATAAAAACCTGATTAAGCTCTTAAAACACAGCACCTCTGAATCTGCACAATGTTTGCACAGAATATAAACCTTAGGATCAGAAAAGCAAAAACTATCTTTGGGTCTCAGCTGGATTCAGCTGTTCAAATGTGAGAAATGTGCTTTTTGTTGTGTATCCAGCTCCATTGTGCTATTCTCACTTTAACCTTGCCAGGATTTGCGAGAGGGAATGCTTTCATGTTTGAAATAATAAAATGTGTAATGAATTTGTACAATACATAATGAAATATGTTGTATTTGTTGTTTTCTGCATGTGTTGCAAGGCTTTTTCATCTTCTACTCATCAATATTTAAGGGGGACTAAATCTTCACTAGGCATATTCATTCACTTAGTCTGCCCTCTAGCTGTCTCCCACAGAAACAGGGATGTTTCAGTTGCGCGTGGCACGTATTAACGCATCCTTTAATGTTTTACAAAAACAAATAAACTATCAGTCTCTAGTACTCTTTCTGAGAAAACGGGACGCAATTTGAGTTATTGGTCGATCATTTCCCACACATGCAAGTTACCACTTTTATGGTGAATACTGTGTGTGTGTGAGTGTTTTTTTGTGTGTGTGTGTGTGTGTGTGTGTGTGTGTGTGTGTGTGTGTGTGT